AAAGAAAAAGAAAAAAAAAGAAAAAAATAGAAAAAAGGAACTTGGGTGAATTTTACTAGACAATCCACTATGCATCTGAACTCTGTTATACTGTACACTTCCAAACAGGGAGCCCGTTCCCTGTAGGAATTAAAACAGCAGCCACATACCCTTCCTCATAAAAATCCTGGAAAGCGTTTGCTGTCATTCCCTGGTTTTCAGGCACAAATTGGCTAGTTTGTGTTAAAAGTAACAAAATATTCCTGATATATGAACTCTTTTTAGTCCTTTTGGAGCTTGTGTATTTCAGTGTAGATCGTGTGAGAAAGACTATCAATAAATATTATCTTTAAATAGCTTTCCTATCGTTACGGAAGTGCAGAAGCCTCTGGTCATAATCCTGTTGAAAACAGAGCCCTGAACTCATGGAGAGCAGTGGATTCAAAATAATTTTCTTAACAAAGGCATCTTGCATATGAAGAGTTCATCCTAAGGCACTGTTTGACCTCTTGGTCTCTCATTATTATCAAGTCATCAGAGGGTCTTTGGAGAGAAAGGGGGAAAAAAAACCCGAGATACAGTTTATTTGTAAGACCTACCGTGTAGCTTTAAAGGACGCTCACAATGAAGAAGCAGGAGAAAAAAAAAAAAAATCTGTCTGATTTCAGGAAGTCTTAGAAAAACAAAGTTAGTGCAAATTACAGATTTTGGGAAAAGTGCGGTGGGGAGAAGCGAGGATTTTAGAACAAAAGCTCTCTGAGCTTAGATTAGAAAACGGGGAGCAAAAAGCTGTTTTAGATGCAAACGTGTTTGCTTACATATTAATTTCATGTCTGTAGTTTCTTTAGGCATGACTATAATTGCTTTTGAAAAATAGGGCATTGTCATGTCAAAACTGTGGCATGTGCCGCTCCAAATTTTTTTGAGGGCCAGATGCTAAATTCTCCTTCTTTTCCTTTTTAAATACTTTCTTTTCAAAAGTGAAATTATTTCAGAGTTGGGACCGCATCGGTTACTGAATGCTTATTAGGAAGTGAAGTACAACACATGACAGAAGCTCACCCAAATGTTGAATATATAATTTATATTTTATGACAGTGAATTATATAGAAGATTCTCAAGTAACTTTCAAATCATCAAACTGTAATTAAATATTGCAAAGACTGTCTGAAAATTCTTTAATTTTTAATGAAAGTTAAATATATATTGTCAGTCTACTTGAAGGTGTAGTATTTTAATGCATGACGCTCAGAACAAATTGGATAATGAAATGATTACTTTTAAATGAAACTGTTGCAGAAGCATACACGTTTCAGCTGGCAAGTATCTGCTCAGTCCTCACACACGCACATTCACACACTCGATAATTGTGAATTCCCAGACTGAAATTACAGCTACTCTGAGGTTTCTGGTGGCAAATTAAAAATCCCACAGAAGCAAAGCTTGAATGAGTTAGGTTCCCCAGATCATACAGGAAAGTATCTGTGGCTTTTTTTTTTAAATATTAATTTTTTATTATTATTTTTTAATACGGACACATCAGATTTAAATATATTCTCTTTGTGTCACAGTTACAAATTGCGAGGTTTTGTACCGTTGCAGATTATTAAGTTAGGTAAGATAAAATAAAAGCCCTTCTGCAAATCAGACCTGGATTTCTGTGCATAGGATTGCTGCTCAGAGATTTAATGTGAGCGTCCCATTAGCAGCATGTGTTATAGCAGCAGGTAGGCAGGGCTTGGCTATGCTGGGGGCTGTGTGTGAAGTAAAAGAGGAGAAGTTCCTGCTCCTGAGTGCTCCTGCTCTGCCCAAGTCAGGGATTTGTTTGTGTGCTGGTGCCCAGCTGAGAAACTCGTAGCAGCAGTGGTGTCCTGGGTGGAACAGAGGCATCTCCGTGCCATGGTGTGTGTGCTGCCCTGTGTTTCTCTGTCAGCTGTGGAGCAGGATGGGGCTGGATTGGAGAGTGGCACTACTGGGCAGCCAAGAATTGTGTTGGGAGCTGCATCCAGGGCAGAGCTGTGCAGGAGCTCGGGCTGCACGGGCACTCCCTGGGAACCGGGACTGCCAAACGGGAAACCCAGCCAGGGTTGGTCTCAGAGTGCCTCGTTTTGGGGTGTGTTTGGGGTATCACACTTGGACTTTGGTGGTGGTCCTGGAGGAGCGCTGGGTGAAATGGGGATTACGTGGCTTTCGGGGTCTCGCCGAGTTTCTAAAACGCATCCCCGTCGCTTAAAAATTGTAAATGCTGCACACAAATAATTCCTGTGGCAGAGAAGTTCTTTCCAGTTTGGGCAACAACATTCGGTGTCAATACTGGCTTAATTAAATTTTCTTTTATGTTATATTGGCACCTCATTTTTTGTCAGGATCACATTCCTAATGCGCTCAAAACCCTGTAGGACCCCAAACTTTATAGCTGTTGCTTTCTGTAAAGCAGCAGCTCCTCCTGCAGAAGATCTGCCTCTAACAATGATGCATTTTAAAATTGCCTGCAAAACGTGAAATATGTCTGCTCTAATAAAACTGGAGTTTTTAGGCAAGTCAAAGGATTTTAATATGTTTATGGAGAAGAGATGCCTTCTATTTCTTCAGCTGTATTTTCATAAAGTTGAGGCATTTCACTATTAGGAAAGATGGAGGAAATAAATCTGAAATACTTGTTCCCCACCCATTTTTCCTTCAGCTGTTCTCATCCATAAGATATAACGGATGCTAATATGGCTCAGGCATCTTAGGAATCATAAGTTTTGCTCAATGGCTATTGTCTATTGCTGAGAGCCCTCATGAGTCAAAAATCTTTCCTTCAGACTTAAACACTGTTTATATTTGGATTTTTTTTTCAGAGCTATAACTCTGGATGCAAATGGTTTTTCTGTTGACTTGTCTGTCATTCTCTGATGTCTGCAGATATTTGATCAGCTCTATTCTGTGCATGGCATGGCCCTTCTCTGGCAGCTACACGCATGGGAAAAAAAAATGTTATCAATAAGTTCAGAGGAGCCTCAGCAGACTCGGAGAAATTTCACACAAACATAAAACAAAACCTAACCCCTGTGACGGGGAAAGTTTACATTGCACCAGATTTTAGCAGCTTTCTTGTGCCTTTGGTGAGATGTCAGAAGCGCAGGTGATTTTAATTTTCTTGTACAGAGAGGAATGGAGAAGTTTGGAATTTGCATGCATGATCAGGACCTGTGTTTGGGAAAATGTAAACTCATCACAGTGGAAAATGTGTTGTTTGGAGTCTGAGGGTGAAAACAAAGCTGAGGATTTTGGAGAGACTGCCTGAGCCAGATGGCCTGGTGCATTCCCAGTCTGGCAGCCCAACTGCTCCCTCCTGTATAATATACAGCCATTTGTTCTGGGATATTTACGCTAGAGCTGTTTCCATGTGAATGTTTGAAAACCATTAAAAATGAACATATTAGGAGAGATAAATTTATTTAATTTGTGTGAATACGTCGATAAGCAGGCTGTGAATCAAAGGCAGAGGCAGACTGGATAAAATAATTAGATGCTTCTGAATTGTGTGTGGAGAGGCAGAGCAAGAACTCCCTGTCCTCGCCCGGGACCAGCTCCGCGCTGCTCGTCCGGGATAAACCTCCCTGGGATGAGTCGAGGTTTTGCCTGGGGAAGGGGTAAAACCTCGGGTAGCTGAGGGTTAAGGATTCAAAGCCAAATAAATGTAATTCACAGTATTTTCTCTGTAGATATATAGTGGATACAAGCCTAATCCTCTCTGGGTGAAATTCTGGCCCATCTGAAGTCAATTGCAAAGCGCCTATTGAATTCGGTGGGGCCAGGATTTTATTTTCTCCCTGTGTGTACAGCTGTAAACGTCATTCCAAATCATTTTAGTTCTGTTTTGGAAAAGACCCTAATTTTAATGAGTTTTCCCTTCTCTTTTATTTCTGTAAGGGAGATATTTTGTTTTGTGAGGCAGATGGAATCTGAAAGCAAGTGGATTTACATGCACGTTGGTGATTTCTCTCCTTCTCTTACTCTTTTAAAATCAAGGCCCTGACATAACTGGGTAATATAATGACCATGATCTCATTCCTTCAAGATTGTTTTTCGTCCAGTTCTGAAAGCAGGATTGCTTGACTGGCAAACTGACACCACGAGACGATTCTGTCCTCACTTGTACCAGCATAAATCTGGATTTATTCAGGAATGGTTAAGGACAAAATCAGTCTCTGTATTTTTCCAGTTTGTTTGACGATTATTTTATTGCTTTATCTTACTGCGTCTACTGGGGAAAAAGTAGATTAAATGAGAACTGTAGCCTTGACTTGTATATCGCCCCCATTCCTTTTCATTTTTTATTTCTTCTTATTTTTTTTTAATAATGAAGTCTGTCGCTGAAAAGTTTAGGTGAAATTTTGGACGTACTTGACTGTGATGTGCTCAACGCAGTAGTTTTTATTTGCTGTTAGGCAGTGAATTGAATTAGATTTAAGTTTCTACGCAGCTTCATTTAAATAGAAGTGAGGAAGTCTCATATTTTTGACAGAAATTTTTCAGGGCCAGATTTTGAGGTCTGTTTGTGCATGAGTGACTGTTACTCACTGGGACTTCTTGCAGGAAGGTTACTTGGGTGAGTAACAGCTGGCAAAATGGAAGATTAATTTTGTGAGGAAATGTTTCAGTTGTTCAGGAGAAGAAACGCTATTTTCAAGTGCTTATGAATTACCACCGAGTTAAAACGACATGAAGTAAACAAAAAGAAAAAACCCAAAGTCTATAATTTTGCATTTCCTTTGCCGGTGTTTTGTTGTGCAACTCTGATGTGTATCTGCAGGCTTATTTTTAGCTCTGCTGTGGTCTAAGTTTATGCACTGTAACTTTCACTTTGTCTCTCATTAATGTGATCCCTATTTGACAAAATCACGACGACGTTAGTGCGACAGGGAACCCTGACTCAAAGCCTGTTTCAAAGCCTGAACTTAAAACCCGCATACTTTATTTAAAAAAAAAATCAAGATATTTTTGTTAAAAAGAGCAACTTTTCAAATCCAAGAGTTAAACATTTTCACAACATTAACGTAGTGGACCCTTCCTGTAAAAATACTTCTGGCAGCTCTAACGATCTGAAACTTTAGCAGTTCCTGTTTCCTTTTTGAAACTAATTGTAGAATTAATGCTTCAGAGCGGCGCGGTTTGCGCGGCGGTCGAGTATCTGCAGGGCTCTCGGGCAGCCATTCATGGGGGCAAACAGTTGGTGCTTCACACAAGGAAATTGGGACACAGGAGTGGGGAGATGGGGATGAGCTGCCCAGAAATGAGCCCAGCGCGTCCTCCCCCTTCCCAGAATTTCCTAGAAATTCCTGCAGGAATAGGGTAGGCAAGAGGAGCTGCGTTTGACGCGGAGAAAACAAAATGTGCACGGGTGCAACTTCGATAATTGAATGCAAATAAAGTGAGAAGCAAATCCTTAACGGGGAGGCAGGCAGGAGAATGTCATGCACGCAAAGAAGGGATCACTGATGCTAAACACAACAGACAAGGTGATTATGTACCACAGTGTTGACTCTGCCCGTTCATTATTGCTATTTAGTTGAGTTATTTAAGCAGCTACCTGGAGGTTAAGTAAGCACAGAACTGGGAAAGGGAGAGGAGGAGAGAGGGCAGGGGGAAAAAAGAAAGTAAATTTTGCGTTCTGGTTTGTCGTTTCTAGCAGTTCTTTGGCTCCACTGGCAACAAGCTAACCCATCCTGGGTAAATTTATTTTAATATTTGCAAGTATGAGAAGACCAAGCTGAGTCCGGCAGCCCTCTCCTCCCATGTCACGTTGTGACTGTCTGGAAGTGACAGGGGGCTGGAGGTGTTTGCCCCCACTAGAGGCCTCAGAAGTACTCTTTTCCCTCATGCTCTGCATTCTCAGTAGGGAGATTATTTTTTAACTGTTGATGAAGTCCAAGTCGTGCCATGAGTTTCCTCCTCTCCTGGCCTGTTCCATTGCCAGGTGGAACCTGATCTGGGGTTTTCTGGAGTCTTTGCAATGTCCCCGCTGACTGACCCCACCAGGTGTCAGCCATTTACTTCAGTTCTCTGGCTTTGCCTGGAAGAAGCTTCTCCCCATCTTCCCCATTATTAATGCTGGGAATGAGGCTCCTCTGAATTTGTCCCACCTCCTGCTGTAATCCATGTAATTCCATTTTCCAAGGCTTCTTGTGTCTGTATCTCTCTTGGGCACTGATGTGGAAGTGGGGGTTCCAGCTGGGGTCAGGGGGTTGCTGGTGTCTGTGCTGGGGGGGCTTTCTGTGCATCCCCTTTTTCCCAGGGCTGGGTTCACAGCTGTTGTCCCTCACTGGTGGAAATGAGGGGGCAGAAGCCAGGTGAGACCCTGGGCCCATTAGCAGCAATTAGTGGCAGCCTCTGTTTTATCAGCTATAAAACCCCAGCCCAAGGGCTCTCAGGTTTTAGGGGAGGAACCATAGCAAACCTGAAGTTAAAAAAATTAAAACTGCCAAAGGTAATGCAGGCCCATTCCTGATATTATTTATGGAATTATTAAGTAATTTTATAATCCATGTTATTAATATTGTGTGTTACCATTTAAATTGTGTAAGGGTCAGTGCATGTGTCTTCAGATTTGTGTGTGTTGAGATTTGTGCCCATTCTGGAATATCACACTTCTTGCCCTTTGTGGGTTACATTTGTAAGGACTGGAAAAGCAGTTCATTCTATATTAAGGTAACTTACTTTTCTGTCAGTATTTTCCATGCTTCCATTTCAAATTGATCTCATTCCTTAAAATGTGTTTAAACCATAGAGCACACTTCTTAAATTTCAGTCTCTATTTTATCGTTAGCTCTAGGGAGACCCATCTCAGATGTCATTTTACCTGCTGAGTTTTTCCCCACAATTTCTTCTCTTAAATTCTGTGCTTTAGAGACTGAAAAGGTCACACCAGGCTCAAGGGTAGTGCTGATGCTCAGATGCAGGGGTGGTTATCCCTCCAAGCCTGGGGCTCGGATCCCAGCTCCGGAGTGCCACCCTAAAAGACTTAGAAACCTCAGTGCCAGCAAACAATGCTGTTGCAAGGGAAACTCCCCTCTTGTTTTGCTGCTGGGAGGCTGGTGGCTGGAAAACATGACTCTGTGGGGCTGAGATGGAAATCCTGTCCCACAGGGGCTGTGAACACCGACCCAGCTCGTGGGTAACGCTGATCTCTCGTTGCTGGTGGGAGCAAACGTAGACTCCTCTTGAAATGTGAACACACTGCCTTTCCACAGCTTTAGCTCAAAGGATTCTCTCTGTGCTGTCTCAGAGTTAAATTTCTCAAGCTTCTTGATGATCTGTTTGTTTTGGTCTCCTCTGCTCTGGTAGGGCCTTCTCCTCACTTATTTATATCCCTGTAACTCCGGAGGTGCTCTCTGGAAGTGCTGGATCAGGAGGTTCAAGGGAAGAATCAGGCCCAGGCGCTTTCTCAGGAGCTACCAGGAAAATGCCTGGGCTGTGCAGCTTTTGTAATTAAAAATGCATGAGCTCTCTTTTCTGTCTTTTTTTTTTTTTTTTTTTTTAATGAATAGGACCCAAAGTATACCAAGCCTTGCTGCTTTTTTTTTCTTTCTTTCTTTCTTTTTTCCCCCCTTCCTTTTAATGCTATTAGGTTTATATTTTATTCTGAATTGAAAAGAAAATTGTGGTTGTCTTGACTACTAAAAAACCCCATCCTACACACTGCTGGAGAAATGTGCAACAGAGAGGAGGGAATTTAGCTGTACTCAGCTTGTGTTGTTTTACAACTGCAGGTCTTGGAGCAGGTTTGGTGGAGATGCCAGCTCTCTTTAGCCTGAGCTGTGGTTTGTAACTCGCTGAGACTTTGCTTATCATGACATGTTTTGATTTTCCCCAAACTCAACATCATGTACAACTAAAAACGTGTTTTATTTCTAGGCAATAGTATATGAAGGCCAAGACAAGAACCCAGAAATGTGCCGAGTTCTGCTCACGCATGAAATAATGTGCAGGTAAGAAATATCCCTCTTCCAGTTAATTAGTGATGAGAAGATGAATCTGTCTCCCAAAATCTAGGTTGAACCTACAGCTATTTTCAGACTTAAATTTGTCTTTCTTGCATTAAACAATCCCAAAATAACACAGTTCGGTGTGTGTAATTAGCAGCAAGGTCTCAGTTGTCACACTAGTTTTCAATTATTTATAAAGAGTTATTCTTAACAGAATGCTGCTGGTTTTCATTTAGACACTTCAGCCCACAAAAGGTCTCCTCACCGAAATTAACAGTCTATTATAGTCTTGTAGCAATAAATGTCTCTGCCCCCAATTCCCAACAAAAATTCCTCGGCAAAATGACAAAATAGTATTTTTTTTTTGGATGGACATTAAGGAGTGAGGTCAGGAGGTTCTTTTGTCCTGGTTGCTGCTCATGTGGGGTCCCCACTCGGCCACTTCTCTGTGCAAAAGATGTCTTCTTGAACTTCTTTAAACTTCCCCGTGCAGATTTGAGTCTCCCCAGTGCTCCTTTGCCCTGCTAGGGCTCGGTGACTTTAATTCAGTCAAATATCTTCTCCCCCAAACTTCTGCAGCTGCTTCCTTCTCTGTTCTGGCTGGTTGAAGTAGGTGAAGCCTCCTCTACTTCCTTTTTACCACAGCCCCCTTCTCCACCTCAGAGAGCTTGACCTCACAGTCTCATTAAAGTTAGTGGGTGTTTTTTGCATGTCTGAAAAGATCATTTGTTACATGTTATTTGATGGCAGAAAATAATTCCCTGGTGGAAGACGAGGCATTCTTGCATAAGCTCATTGTTACAATCAGTTGTTTTAAGACTGTAAAAATGCCATTGCATGCGTTGTAACTTTTACAAAACACATTTACTAAAAAGGAGTAACTTGAGGGTAAAAACTAGTACCCACTTCTAAAAGAATAAACTTGGATGAGGGTTTCCTGGCAGGGGAGAGTCTTTGACAAAATACTCAGATGGAAACTTCTCTGTTGGTTGATTTTTTTTTTTTTTTTTAAATTCTTGGGATCTGCATGTCTTGTCCTCCACTGACAGCTCCTCCTGCTAAAACCCTGCTGGGGGTAGCATCCCGTGATGAAGGCAGAGGAGTTGCTCTCCTTGCTCTGTCAGCTTGGGTGAAACTCTTTACAACACCCCCCCCTCTCAAATTCTTCCTTGCAGCAGGATTTTGGGGCATTTAGTTTTCTTCTCTTGCTTTTTTAGGCTGATTCTTTCAGGAAAGACATTGGTTTGCTGCTCCAAGAGGTGCCTGAGCCTCGTTGCTTTGCTGAGGACTCCAGGCCACTTCTGCCTTTTCAAATGGAATCCCAGTCATGTTGACAAGTTGTAATTGTCCTAAAATTCATTGGCCCAATTAGCGCGACTTTCACACTGGATACCTAGCTAGGAACAATTCATGGAAATATTAAAGGAGGCCCCTGACCTGATAAGACTCAAGTGCCTTTTACTTTTCTCCTGTAACAGACCAGTAAAACAGTGGGACTGGGCACATGAGTAAAATTAAGCACATGTTCAAGTACCTGCAGTGTCAAGGTCTGAATCTGCCATTAGTCCTGGGTGATGTGTCCTCCTGATCCTTAACCAGCAAGGTCTGGTGGTAGGAATGATTCACTGAGCCAGAATCAAACACTTTAATGAATTAATTTCCCTACAGATACTTCAGAAGCATAAAGTATAAGAAGTAAATTAAAACTTTATATAGTGGGCTGAGTTTTAACCAGAAGACTAAATGTCCACATCACAGATTTATAGCCATTCAATATATTTTGGCTGAGACAAAATTATTTCTGTTCTGGGAATGTGGAAAGATGCACAGTCATTCCCTTTATTAAAACACTTTGCACTTTCTTTGTTTTTAAAATTCACTGGCTCGGAAGCTTTATTCTTCTCCTCCTATTTATTTACTGCTGGTACTTGCTTTGTGTTTCATGGCCATAAGGTGGAGGAGTAGAAAAAAACCAAACTGCCTGTAGTAGGCAAATGTTGTGTTCCTGACAGAGTGGGGGAGACATATCCAAATTTCTTACAGCTCATATTAGATATTTCCCATTTCCTTTGCTGCCCATACGTGTGTAAGAAGGTGCTGTTTGTTTACCAGGCCGCTTGACCCTATTGCACAAATCTGTCATCTATTGTGCTGCTAACACGTTTTAAATTGCAAATCTGATGCTCTTTAGGGGTCTAGAATGGGAAAAAATTCTCTCTCCACACCATTCTGTTTCTCTTGATTTCTTGCCTGTTGTAAGTGGAAGTTGGGATGTGCTGAATTTGCACCAGGGGTGCAAATGCAGCCTCAATTATAAGCATAAAATTAGAGTCTGTTCCCCATTAATCAGCCCAGCTAATTGCTATGCACTACCATTAGCCATATGGTGTGAAAGACAGCTTGCTCTCCCTAAGATGAAATTTCTTCATTTCAGACATGAAATAGTGAGGGCTCTGTATTTTAAAATAGCTTGTTTTAGATATTTAATTTCTAAACAACTTTCAGCAGTGCTTTCTATCAAGGCTAACTGCACAATAAAACTTTGCATTTATGTGACAAAGCTGGGTATTTATAGTGTACTACAGCTACAGCACGGAGGAGACAAAGAATTCAAATGTGTAAGAGAGTCCTGGCTGTGGCAGGAGAGCGAAGCTGAGGCTTGCTTCAGGTAGCTGTTTATTTCAAAGGATTTCATTGTGTTTTGTCAGATATAAAAATCTACACTGTTGGTGAAAATGTTAATAGCTGGGGAGAATTCACAACCTCAGTGGAATTTATTAGTATTGTAGGCAGCATGGGGAGGGACATCTATAGTTAATATTGCCTCAACAATTTCCATTATGAAACCTTCAGTGGCTTACAGCTTTGCCAAACTTAAACTGTTCTGGCTGAAATATCCTTTGCAGGGTGTCAGCCTCAGGGTGACTTTCTTTGGAAAGTTTCCGCTAAAATGGTTCAGTGATTTCTGAGAATGAGGTTGGAGTAAAAGATGGGTTTCGTCTGTGCAAAATAAGATCTTGCAGCTGTTTTGGCAAGGGGGTCCCACACCTCCACGCTGCAGGGTGAGGAGCCTGTCTGGGGCAGGGGCTGTGCTGATGGCATCACTGGTGGGAGGGATCCCACCTCGCTGGGACCTTGTGCAACTTCTCCCAACCCTCGCTGGCGACTCGGTGGGGCCTGGCAGCCAAAGTCTCCTTGGTGCTGGCCACGGGCCACGGGTCCCTAATTCCTCATTGTTCATTGTCCCCGGGATGCAAAAGCAGGGGCAGGGCAAGGGAGGGTTTGGGGTGCAGACATTGGGGTGAGGAGGCTGCGGGCAGAGATCCTCAGGCACGTGGAAGGGAAGAGGAAGAGGAGGATGGGCAGCAAGGAGACAGGAGAGCAGCAGGTCCCCAGAGGCTTGGGGCAAGGAGAAAGGCAGCAATAAAATCTGGAGGTGGTGGTGGCCTGGGGAGGAGGAGGAGGATAGGGATGGTGAGGAGTTCAGGAATGAGCCATGAGGATGGCAACAACAGCAGCGGTGTGCTCGGAGATGGGGTGCAGGAGCATGAAATAATGGGAGGCTGCATTACTACCAAGGACTATTGGTTTTAAAAACAAGCAAACCCCACAAATAAGTCAATTTTTGTAGGCTTCTCCTGTGGGCCAACATGGCACTGTGTCCCAGCCGTGGCTCCTGGCCCCACCTGGGGAGAGGTGTCATGGAAGAACAGCAAAGACAAGTCCTTGTCCTCCTGGCTGCATGAAGCTGGCACTCCCTGTTCTCGCACAGAGCCTTGCTGGGAGCTGGAGGGTTTCTGAGTGGTTTGGAGAAGCTCCTGGGAATTTTAAAATTCTTTCAGGGAAAGGAGAAAGGGTGCTGAATATTTAGGAACTTATTTCCAAGTGCTAAGTAGGCACTAAAAGCAAAGCTTTTGAGGGAAATTGAATTAAAAGCACTTTTAACCAGGTCTGAAAACTCAAGATCTGTGTGATGTTTTAATTCTCTGCATAGAGTCAAGAGTGAAGAGACCGCCAATTCTGCTGTGGCAGGGGGGAAAAAACACAAAAGGCAAATTAAATTTTAAAATAAAATTCTCCAGATCACGAAGGAACATCAGGGCCTCCTTTCATGCCAGAGAGCCACTGGATGGTGGGATGTGCCAGCCATGCAGCCCCTCCACATCACCCTCAGGTTGTGGTCAAGGAGTGAGGTCTCCTACTGTCTCTTGGGACTATTGGGGTGCACTTTAGGGGAGGTACCCCAGTTAAGGGGTCACCTGAGGAGCAGGGAAGTGTTTCCTCTGCTCTCAAAGCTGGATTGTCCCCACTGGTCAGTGCCTGACGCTTGTGGCAGGAGGTGAGACCGAGGTGTCCCTGTCCCCAGGTGCCCGTGGCTGCCTCTCCCCCTGGGTTAATGCCCTGGGAGGGTACCAACCTCTGAGCCCCGTGGTGTGTGGATGCTGGTATTTGCCCATCTCGTGCTGGGAGCCTGGGAACCTTTGCTTCCCTGAGTAAGTGTGGCAATTTCTGTCCCTCCAGTCTGCTGGGAGAATGTCAGGACTAGCCCTGATTCACTTCAGTCATAAGAACTGCATTGTCTTAACTTGTGCCAACTCTGTTTCTAATTACATTTTAATCATTTAAAAATGATTAGCAGTTTTTATTGCCTTGTTTGTGGGTAAATTTTCTCACCCCACACATTCTAGCTGCACTCCAATGACAAGTCCTTTTATAGGCAAAAAAGCCCCTGAACGTCCCCATGACTATTTACCTACAGCATATTTTATTCCTTCCTAAATTTTAATACTTTCAGGGTGCCAAGGCTCTGGCATTTTCTGGTGGATCAATTGTGGTATTGTGCTGTAAAATTAAGCAGTTTTTTTTGGCAATCCCAAACAATGTAACTTCCACCGAAATGAAGATACCGCACATGTGTTAACTGTGAAAAGTTTCAGCCCTGAATAGTTGCCTTGAAGCTTTTTGCGGTGAAAAGAATTATGTATTTTCCTCTCTTTGAAAACAAAATTACTATTTTTTTTTAAAGCCATGTTTAAACAGGCTGTTTTTGTAAAAGGCCCCTTTTTTGTTATCTTTACTGTGGTTAGTTGCTTTATTGCTAATCTTGGTGGGTAACTGTATATTATTCGCTTCTATTGTTCAGCAAAACAAGAGAACCTTTGTCATACTCCCAACAAGGCTATTTATATAGCATGGCACTTCTGAGGGCTTCTTCCTGTCCTGATGTTCTCCCACCTTCTGGGGAAAGGAAAATAGTTCATCTGAGAGGGAGAGTGAGCAGTGGTCCCTCCTGACAGCTGCTGAAATACAGGCAAGCTGCAGGTCTCTGGGATGCCACTGGGAACAAACTTAGTGCTTTACAAAGATTTGGTTGTGTGTGGTTGAGGCTGACCAGAAAGTTTATTGAACCTGGGATGTGCTCAGGTCTGGCCAGGGAGAGCAGCTGGGGTGGTCCTCACTGCCTGACACTTGGTGCCATCATGGAATGGGGTCCCTGCAGCTGCCCAGGCTTTGTCCAACAGGTCCCTGGGGTCCAAGAAGGACTTGGGAAAGTCAGGAACTTCTTGATTTTTAAATCTTTTTTATTTCTTGAAGCCTTGACTTCAATAGGAGAGTTTCTGTTAAGGGACATCAACAAAAAGGATTTTTCCTTGTGAGATGGGGGCTTCCTCCCTGGAGATGAGTGGGTGGGTGAAATCTAAAGGCTTTGCTGACCTTTGTGGCTGTGATTTGGTCTCATGGGTTTAGATGGGCAGGTGGGAAGAGCAGAGCAGCTCCCTGCCAGAGCTCCAGAGGCACCAGGAGGGATTCCCACCTGGAGCAGGAACGTGTACCTCACCTACAAACTCACCTGCAATATATTTATGCCTCCTTACTGAAAACTACCCTTGACAAAGAATCGTCAAAAACCATCAACTTAACTTCTCTTAGGAAACAATGAGCCACCTTAGCTCAGAAAGAATCCCAGCCTCGAGGTCAGCCATGGAGCAGTGCTTTGGGAGACAGAGCTTATATTTCACATGCCTGCTTTGTATCTGACCTGATGCAGGGCACCAGAGCCCTGAGCAGAGCTCTCCGTGGCATTAGTGATCATTAACATGCTCGGAAAACTTGGGGAAACAGGCGCGCTCGAGCATAAAAAGCTGCTGCTGCTGCTTGCATTTCAGCTTCCCCATTAACACCAGTGCTTCTTACAGGGAGAATAATTGTGCTTTTGGAGTTTGGGGGGGAGGTTTGCCAGTAGCTGGGAATTGTGTGGAAGCAGGAATATCTTGTGGATGTGTAACACAAGCGTTAAGCAAATGTAAAAACCAGGCTCAGCAGGGAAAAATCTGCCTTATTTTGTGTGCCAGCGTCTGCGGGACAACTGTTAAACCCCACAGAAAAGAGGCTACAAATAAGCAGCTCTCCCTGTTTTGGGCAATCCTTGAATTATTATTTGTGAAAGGGGCAAAACCCCTCTCTTTTTATATTTTCCGTTGCTAACCAGCTGTGCAAGAAGTTAAACATGGTAATTAACCCATATGTGACCCAGTACATTTGACTGATTTGCAGGCAGGGCCGGCAGGGTAACTCGAGCCGGCAATTTGAACCCAACATGTTCGTAATGATGATTTTACAGTGTAATGGTCGCACTAAATCCTTTCGCTTTTGCTCTGTAGCCGCTGTTGTGACAAGAAAAGCTGTGGCAACAGAAATGAGACTCCATCAGATCCAGTGATAATTGACAGGTAAGGACTGCTATTGTTTCCTTCCATTTTTTTTTTTCTTCCTCCTTCTCCTCATTATAATGAAACACCTGCCCGGTGTTGCTAATAGGGAAGAATTAGGAGGCTATGCGGATGAAATTTTGGTTTTTTTTGATACTGAATTAGTTGTGCTTTGCAGTTGTGATTGCCTTGGAAGGGCCATATGTGAGAAAATGTAGGGATACTGGAGCGCCCTGCTCTGTGGAGAGCTCCAGCTCTTGTAACTGATTCATGTGCATAAAGAGGAGATTTTTCTTTCTGACTTTCTGTGACTCAATTCACATGCTATGCCAGGGAAGCTTCAGGAATAAAATAATAATAGTTTGTGATTTATGAAATGTGGTTGGGTGCTTATAAATATTTAACTTTTATTTGAAAAATGTTTGAATCATTATCACTTAGCTACTGTAGTTCTGTTGGATGCAATCCATCTACATTTTAAGGCTTTTATTTATGCATAAAAACGGTTAAGAAAATAGATCTGCAATGTAAGGTTTTTTCCCTCCTCTTATTTTCTTTGGTTGGAATACTATTTTGACTGTATTGTCAGTTGATTAATTCATTTTTGCCTGTCTTAATTATTGTGTTTTTAAACAGATCCATATTGCTAATCTGACACCAATGAGTAAATCATTGTAGTACAATACATCTATTCCTGTTGTTCTGAGCCATGTGTTGTTTCTGTTGCTTGCCAGTTATGCAAAATGGTAGCCAAAGAGCCATTTTTACGTTTTTATTGTCCAAATGTGTTGTCCAAAGCCGTGTGGGATAACCAGGGCATTGTGCAGCATTACTCCAGAGGAGTTAAAGGGCCACCAAGCACCAAAAGTGTCTCTCAGGGCTGGGGAGAGCAGCACCCTGCACTGAGCTGTGAATAGGGGACCCCAAAAACACAGGGCTGAGGGCACAGAGCATCTCCTTGCATTGCTGTCTGAGTTATGTTTGCTGTATGAAGTTCAGAGAACCTTCCATGCCAGAGCATCCATTTTATGAAAGAAGGCGAGCTGGGTTTGATGTGTTGGGGTCCCCCCTGAAGAGCAGTCCAGAGCCTGGTGCTCGTCCCAGCTCTTGGATGGGTTGGGTAGGAAAGTGCTTTTATTGGAGGTTTATAGCAGATGTTTTGATTAGCTGTAATAAGTAATCCTGAGAATGTTTAAATCTCAGAAGATATCCCTATCTATTTTAACTAGGCATATTTTCATCTTCTCTGAGCATCAGGTAGCACCAGAGGAAGTGTGTGTGGGGGAAAGCCCCCCAGTGAAACCTGTACAGAGCTGTGTTTTATAAGCATGCTGCAGAGCTGAACACTATAAACATGGTGTTAGAGTGGCATTTTGAGCAACATGAAAGCTACAAAATTCACATGAATTTTTCATTGTACTGGAAAGTGAGATGTTAAGATGCTAATGGCAGGTTTACTGAAATATTTTGTTTAACTATCTAGTATGCAAAACTGCCAGTTGCAAATAATTTTAAATTTTGAAAACCAGATATGCTATCACATGCTTCCTGCAAATGAGGAAAATAGGTACAGGAAAAAAAACCCAACAAAACAGCTTTAGCTTCCTAGCAGTGATCCTTTCCTCAGTCTTTACATAAATTGATGCAATAGTTACCAGTTTTGAAGTTTCTTCTTAAAATGCAAGGTAAACACAATTCAAAGCTGATAATACAAACCCTGCCTCACCACCCACACTGAATCACACTTGGCTTGTGAATGGGTTAAGCTTTTAAGTCCTTCACTTGGTTTTAAATTGTGACTTTGATACAGGAGGTTGATATGACTGTGGTTTGAATAACACTTGATTTTGACCTGTTCCTGTGGGTTGCAATGGCATAAGAAATTTGACTCAGCAGTACTGTAATTAGCCCTCCCTGTGTTTTTGAAACAGGATTGTGTTACCTGGATTGCATTAGTGTGGCTTCTATTGTTGCCGCTTCGCATCTGTCCCAGTAGGGTACTTAAAACCTTTTCTTGGCTGGGGCTAGTTCAAACAATTTAGGCCAAGCAAGTATGTGCTTTATACAGTTAGTAGCTTTAGTGATGTTTCTTGTGACATTTATACTATTCATTTTTCTTGTCCCCTTTGGTTTGGAAAAGATGAAGTGATTTATATGGAGCCTTTTTACCTGAAAACGAGTCCTTTAAAACTGTTCTGTGATTAAAATGCCCGCACAAGTCAGGCCATGTGTTTGGTTGTGCTCCATTGTCACTTCTCCATGCACACAGTTTTAAACTATTATGTCAACTGATATGCAAAGCCATATTTAGTTATTTTTATTTGCACTGAGCTTAGAGAATTCATTTACCATTTGGGCTAAAGCACTCCCACATGCCTGATGCTCTGATCAAGTCTTTGCCTATGGATTTAATCTAACTCTTGCATCAAATCTTGTGAATCCACAGACTCTGACCTAACACAGAGTTTAACACAGAATCTATCCATGGGATTTTTGACATATGTACTTACATGGAAATGTTATCCTCTTCTGACAAGTTGGAACACTATTTGGGATTGATTAATTCTCTTTGATGAGGCTGGAGAGACTTGGGATAGAGAGGGCTCTGGCTTTGTGGTGGTTTGGTGAACTTGGAGAAAAGGCTCTTCAGCAACTTCAAAGTTACATGTGTTGTATTCTTCTTCAAAATCTGGATACATGTGAAATCAAATTGTATATTTCTCTTTAATGAAAATGTGAGTTTTAAGAAAGAAAGTCTGTAGTTGTGTTTGAAACAGGATATGACTTTTTTTCTTTATAAAGTTGTTTTTTACTTTGCTCTATTACAGTATCAGCAGATACAGCAGTGAAAGGGACCTAAAGAGATTTATACTCATATAAAATAGTGATTTAAATTTTCTCTGGAGAACAAAATTAGTTTATTATGATTACAGAGCAGTCATCCCAAGGAAGTTTCTTGGAAACCTGTGCGTGTCTGTATCATCTTCTTAGCATAGCCTGTGTATTTTATTGCTAATCCAGTTACATGTGCCGAGATGAAGATCTGATGAACAGGAACTCATTTTAAAAGGGGTATTATTGTCACAATACAAATGCACAATTCCTCCTACGAGTGCAGTGGCAGGGCTGTATTGTAATCACACTTAAAGAAAACACAGAGCACTTCCTGTTATTAAATTAAATTCTAGATTGATTTAACTTTCAAATTGTAACTCATATTTGAATTTAAAAGGTTCGCAATAAAATTCCTGTGAAGAAATTGAATAAATTGTAGTTTTATTACCACTCTGGATATCCTGGTATCCTAACCTTTTTCCTTACAGTTATCTTAGTTCAATAAATAAAACCTCATTAGACTATTCCCATTTCAACGAGTTTATTAAATTTTACAGGAGTAATTAGCATAAGCTGTGCTAATTTTTCTGGAAGACTAATGAGAGAGCTTCCTAATTAGGTTTGCTTTGTAAGAATCAGAAAAGATGATAATGACAAAAGTCACATAGGGGAGAAAGTGGGGCTTTATGTTATTCCTTGGTTCAGGAAAAAGGCTCCTCTCTTGGCACTCTGTTCCAAACTTTTAAACCCAATTTACCATTGTCAGGACCGATATTTAATGGTGTTACCAGTGCCTGCTGGGGCTTCTTTACCTTTTATGGCTGCATCCAGTCAATAGGAGTCCTACTGACTGGTAAAATAGGAATAGCCACTGCAATCCCAAATATAGTGGCAGAAAATACAGATACCATATATATCGTATATATCCTGCTTGAAATATTGCATGGAAAAAGGGCTGAAACAGGCAGTTCCTGGCTCATCCCAGATTTTGCTTCTTCCCAGAGTACTTGAGCAGGCTGAAAGTGACCTGGGATTGGCTTTGCTAATATTTACCAATAGAGGCAGGACCTGTAGTGAGAATCTGGCCACTTTTGGATTGATAATCTTTAGGTGAGGTAGAAGTCAAGGGGCTTCGTGCTGGAGCTCCCCTGGGAGGGACTCTGTGACCCTTGGTGGCAGGGGATGGCCAGGGCTTCTCCTGGCCCTGCTCTGGTAACACACTGAAGGTCTTCATGTGGCATTTTGGATGCAGTTTGGGAGCAATGAGGAGCTTTGTGCCTTTGCAGTGCCCTCACAGCTCTTGTCCATGGAGCAGGGGTGGGGACTCATGGATTAGAACTTGTAATATTTCCCATACCTTGATATCAGATGATACCAAAATACATTTTAATGCATGACCTCCTGCCAGTGTCTGAAAGGCCTCTGTGCTTCCAACACGTGCAGGATGCTCATCTGGGCTCTCTGGAACCTGTCCCAGCACACCCAGCCAACTCACCTACAGATGGGTTTGAAATCTTTCTGCCTGTAACCTGAAAAGTTTTATGTTTGTGGGTAGAATTTCACTGTGCAAGGACATGAAAAACTCATTACCTCTGTTTTACTGCTTTACAAGTCATCAGGTAGTGGATTGTATTTTACAAGCCTGATCATCTTTTCATCCTAAATACCAGGCAGGTGGAAAAGTGACTGGGAGGAGTGTATCACACTCCCTGCATCCTCCCCACAAACACACTGCTTAAGTAGATGTGGCAAATAATGCATTTTGCAGTAGCTTTCCATGTCTGGAGAGAGGGGGAAGGAGATGCAGGCAGAACCTGCCCTCCAGGGGAGGGGATGAGGTGGGTTTTGCTGAGAGGGAGCTGCTGGGGGATGCTTTGCTGCAGGGGATGGAATCAGTGCAGCTGATCCCCACCAGCCTGCAGGGACCTGGGCACGTCACAGCAAAGTGGCAGGAGATGCCAGGTGCCCTGGCAGTGGCCCCTGGGCACTTCCTGCCCTGTACTGCTTCTATCCTTGTCCCCCTGACCATGTCAGTACCAGGACCTGGCTGTGGAGTCAGGGGCAGCTCTGTCTCCCCCCTTGCTCCCACCAGGGACGGGCTGTGGGAGCCTGGGGGTCCCATCACTGCTGGCTCCTTGGGTGGGTTTTCCACACAGAAGGAGCAGGAGGGCAGGCATGGAGCACTC